TGTACTGTGAGGCTAGTGTAAGAATGTTAATTTCCTTAAACTTATCTCTCAAAGAAACTTTGGGGCCCAGATTGTAAATTGCCCTAACCGCACGTTTCTGCAGGACAAAGATTCTATTGATATCGGCGGCATTACCCCAAAGCAAATTGCCGTATGTCATTAGACTGTGAAAGTAGCTGAAGTAAACCAATGTACGGTTTCGACGTCTGAAAGTTTCCTTATATTTTTAATTACTTAGTAAAGTGATCACAGTTTTAAAGATGATGAAAATCGACACTCTTAAAATTGTTCCTATTTTTAGTACTCTTATTACAAATGTAATGTTATTTTAATGCAATTATGAATATGGGTGATATTTAAATGGAAACCACAATAGGTAAAAACCACAGACCAAACAAATACTATTCAGTAGTATAGTCGTCTAACGAAGGATGTCCTAGTCCTTATAGGGGAAAACCTTAGGAAGAACTGTCGAATGGTTAGAATGTTATTTATTTTCTACCCAAGGAAGATGTTGAGAATTAATTACAAAGTTTGAATAGCAAACGCTACGTATGTACAGTCAACAGCTACACATTGATCAAATCAAGCTACACATTGACGTATCTTGTTCCGTTGCACTGGAGGCGATTTTCGACCAAAAATTTGTCGTCTGATGTGTTGTTGTCCGTACATATTAATACTCGAGACTGAACTCTCTTTTGGAAAAATGCTAAACAAGTCGCTGACATGTTTTGAGTACAGTGGTAGGAGTCTTACGACAAAATTAATAAACACTATTACGATAATCAATGTCAACGTAACTGTGCCAAGTTGTAGGAAATATAATTCCGTCATTCGATCATCCTTGTGTGGGTTGTGATAAAATGATAACCGCGATAATGGTAGGTACCAAGATGCTCACCTGTTTTATTATTTTTGGAAATCGCGTTGACCTCTTTCATAAAAATGAAAAACGCATATCGTTGCCTTGGATGAACATGGTATCAACGTTTCAACACAAAAACGTGGACTTCGAAATCAACGAGATCTTTCTATATAACAATCGGACGTGAGATGGCGCTGGAGGCAGGGTAGTATATCTGAACTATTTGTATGTTTTGACAAACATTGAGCAATACAGTCGTGTACAGTATTACACACGAAGCTGTAGTCGTCAAGACGTCATCCTTCGTTGAACAGGGTTTTAAAACACAGCATGTGTTCAGTATAAGGTTATTGTATTTTAAAAACATTTATTTCTACAACGAAGACGATTATTTCAAAGTAATACATTTTTTGGAATATTTTCTCATTGAATTGTTACGGTAATCTATGTGATAGAGTTTTTTTTGAGATAGGTACTACCTTAGAATAATAACGCATAGAATGATAGTTTCATGTCAAACGAACTGTCACAAGTGAGGCAAAAATCAAATTCATGTAGGCTAGTTTTAGCAGTAGGTTAATTTTCGGTTTTAGTGAATATTCATATAAAAATACAAGTTGAAACGCGTTACTTCCTTGTGGAATGTGATGTTAGTATCTATTTTGTTTGTCTGACGTACTTTTACACTCATTTACCGCACATTTCGTCATTTTTAACTAAAATTCTGGAGCTGTTCGCGGTGCAAGTTGACCTTGAGCACTGGAGGCCCGCCCGCTCGTGTAGGCCCATTGGGTGCGCTTCAATTTGCCTCACTTGGCGTGTGCGGGCTAGGTTTCTATGCGTTATTATTCTAAGGGTACTACTATGTTCCTCAAAGTTTTATCGAATTGAATATTTTTCCTTCTTTCATTTAAAAGTATTAAAGCGTGAATAGTTTACTGCAGCATCTCTGCTTGAAGCCTTTGGAAATGCTTCGAAGTATGTTAAAACATTAAGATTGAATCATTGACTTACAAATAAATTGAATGAATAGTTCTGTTGAGGAGTTTGCCGTCGCTTTTCGTAGCTACCCGTATTTTTTAAATTATTTACCATTCTTTTCAGAACGAATCGAGTTGGTGCTTGTCGATCCCGATATCTCTCTTCATACCACCGCAGAGCTAAATTCACATTTTTGTTAGGTATTTAAAAAATAAGCTTCCATTAAATCAAATTGTTCTTTATATGCCATTTTTGCGATGAGACAAATACGAAATTTATTTATTTATACGAAAATTATCAGTACTTCGAAAGGATATATAAAAACCAATGGTAAAAACAATCAAATGGAAATAACAAAAGACAATCCATTTTCAAATGAAACTTTCCATATTTCCTCATGCCACTGACCAAAGAGTCTGCATTACAAACATGTGCAAATTGCAATCTATATCTAAATAGTACTTCGTCATTTTAATGGATAAATGACGTCAATGATAATTAACAAGTAATCTGATGGACCTTTGAGTAAAAGTGCTTTAACTTGACCCATTGAATTTATAACTCCAGATTTCATGGTTTGTAAGAGAGATTTCACCCTCATAATTGACCTTATCGATTGATTTAATAAAAGTACAAGGAGCATTTTTTTAAACATTTTAGCGGGTCCGATTCCCGCGTGTGGCTAGCAATTTTCGAAAATCTTTGAATGCAGTATTATTTCTTTTTAAAAATAAAGGAATGTTTCCTTTAAGTTAAAATTTCTATCTCCAGTATTTAACGTACTTTCCTTCCAAGTGGCATTACAAATTTCCATCTTGTATACTCGATGGAGACACCATACAAAAAGTGCATTGTATAAATAAATTTTGCAGGCTGATTTCATATCACATTTCCTTCATATTCACACACTTACCTATACTTTAAGCAATGCAAATTAAAAATAAATAAAAAGTCTCACTTAAAATAAATAGAAGGTCGCGGCAACGTCAGACGACGTGGTTTGATAGAGAAAGTCTTGAAGTGTCCCTTGAACACATAAATCAAAATAGTGGAAAAAAAACTGCTTATGTACACTGATTAGTCCGTCCCATTATGTAGCGTACGCAGCAGTCGTTACAAATCTCTTTTGCATATACACTCCCCGACACATAATTCGAGCCACCATGCATTTTCAGTATTAAGTGCCCTAAGCTTAAATAGTGTTTGATTGATCCAAAACTATTACACAATGAAACTAGTATACAAAACGCCTTTTCCCTAAGTCCGTGTTGGGAATTTGGATTTGCAATACCGGGGGAAAACTTCTTATTCACAGGTTTGGTGATAGCACAGATCCTTGCGAAACGCCGGTATTGATGAGCATGGTGTACGAGCACAATCCGTCGACAGCTCCGCTCAGACAGGAAGCTGGCGATCCAAGTTCACAGCCCTTTTGGAAGCCCGAAAGATGGTAGCTTCGACAGAAGTGAATTGTGCCAGTCTCGATCAAAAGCCTTAGCAATGTCTAAACCATGGCCATTGCTTCCCCCTTGCTCTCGATGGCAGCTGCCCATTGATGCGTGAGATACATAAGAAGATCACCAGCGCCACGATCGCGGCGAAAGGCGTACTGGCGGTCATTAATAAGTTGGCGATCCTCGAGGTAATCTAAGAGCTGGTTGTTTACCACACGCTCCATCACCTTGGAGAGCAAGGAGGTTATCGCTATAGGTCGATAGTTGGACGGGTCTCTACTGTCACCCATCTTGGGTATGGGGTGAATGCAGGTTATCTTCCACGAAGACGGGACTTTACCTGAGTGGTACGAAAACGGGAAGAGGCGCGTTAAGACCGGAGCTAACTCGGGAGTGCATGTCCTGAGCACAATAGCGGGAACGCCATCGGGCCCACTGGACTTTTTGACGTCGAGGGCAAAAAGAGCACGCCGTACCGAATTTCGGGCATTGTGTACTTACACCGCGGGATAGTAGACGGTGGGTTACCCTCGTCGTCAAGAGTTGAGTTCCACGTAAAAAGAGAGCATAGGAGATCAGCTTTCTCTTTAGCGGAATGAGCCAATGAACCATCAGGCTTGCGCAATGGTGGTAGTGAGACTCGACAGAAGTTGCCCTGAACAGCCATACCGTGGGACCAGAAGGTACGACTACCCGATGGATGGTCAACAAGTTTTTCGCCAATTTTGCAAGTGTGCGCAAACTTTGCAGCGGCAATTTTCCTTTTGCAGATCCTGGAGGCAGCGTTAAATTCCTGCTTCAATTTGGAACTTTGTGGGTCCTTGGCGCCTGACGCAACAGTCCGAGCCCGGTAGGCCATGCACTTAGCGTTGCAAGCTTCAGCGCAAGATCTACCAAGCCCAGGCTGAGAGCGACCACCGTCTCGTGCTGCAGAGTTTGGAATAAAACATTCCCTGCCCAACAGTGTCGCCTCGGCAATGGATGCTGCGCATACGTAAGAATCGTCCGAAGAGAAGTTCTATAGCTTCCATGGGAAGGAGGCGTAGAACTCTCGGAATCCGTCCCAATCTGCTGACCCATAATAATAATGCCAAACATGACGCCTCTCAGGTGGTCGGGGGCGTCTGGTATGGGTAATACTCACTTCAGAACGGATCAGTAGATGATCAGATGTTGGCAAGCAGGCATGGCGGGACACTCGAATGCCGTCTGGGTGAGGCGTTAGCATTAGGTCCCGCAAACCAGAGGTGACCTGACAGAGACCGTGACAGAGGTAACATGACCTTCAATGTGCGGTACTTTGGTTGGATCATCAACTAATTGTATGAGGTCGCATGTAGCGGCAATGTCGCGCACAGCTATTCCTGTATAATCGGTACGTGCTGATCCTAACCACTCTATGTGATGGGCGTTAAAGTCGCCGAGAATCAACACCTCATCAGGACATCCACAAAACCCACATCAAAGTTCCACAACAACTGCAATGCAATAATATCCTGAAGTGTTAAGAAGGAAGAAAATATTTATGTGGAATAATTATATGGCTAGACTGGACGCCACAGTGCCAAGAAATATTGTAATGGAATCCAAGAAAGAAAGTATTAGTCTTGGCTGTATGGCGCATTAGTGCCTTTGCCTTTTCCAATGGAAAAAATAGTACGAAAAAAAAATTATAGTTATTTCTAGTGGTTAGATCCTCTTTGGTTATTTCGTGGTTATTTCGTAGTTATCCTGGTTATCCTTCGTTTATTCGTTTTTACACAGGATTGGATCATTTATACGTATGTTGTTCTATAATAATTTTAATCTCGGAACGTTTTATTAATCAATTCTAGGACTATTACATTACAAGATACTTGTGCGTAGAAAGTAAATACAACGATGTACTAAGTGCCAGTACTTAGTAGTTGTTGATGAAAACAATGGACCGTGCTGAAGAGGAGTTAAAATGTCTTTTTGGATGCAAGTTTTGTAAGTGCACTTGTTTACTTGCCTAGGGGTAGGGACACAGTGTCTAATCAAAAGTATGGATACTTTAGTCCTGCAGATTTTCCCTACTTAAAGACAGAATAAAAAACTTGTATTTGCATTTTTTTATTGATTTATGATTTTTGATTGAAACAAATAGTAAAAAGAATTTGATTAATTCGAAGAATTGATCAATGCAATCAATCGTCATTTCACATAATTTGTGTTATTTAAATTGCTAATTTCCCACTCTTCCTCGGTCGCGACACTGGGTTTCCCTAGTGCGGGTGCTATGTTGAGTGTGTGTGTTGTTATTATTATTATTAATACTAAAAATTATAATGTTATTTCAGATTCTGCATATTTACATATGTTCCCGGATCCTGCCAAAGAACGAAAGCTATTTGCACAGTGGTTACAAGAAACACAGCATATAATCAAAGAAACAGAACCAGATATAATATATAAAAAATACAGAGTGTGTCATGAACACTTCGCATCTCACATGAAATATGGACAATTTATTTCAAGAACTGCTGTACCTTCTCTTAATTTAAAAGGTAAAAGTGTACCTTATCATGTAAGTCATAGAGTGGCATGTTTCTTGTAATCATTAACTCGGTGGCAGTTTTATTACTGGTGTGACAAAATAGTGGAGTAATTTCACAAAAAATAATTGAATATCAACTCAATACAAATTTAAATGCATCTATGTTTTCAGATAAAAACACAAATAAAAGAAAAAGAAAAGAACCTGTGACTAATGTAGTAAAACCACAAGATAATAATTTGGCAGCAGCACAAGCTGAGGACAATGTTTCTAAGACAGCATCAACTCAAGATGATGTTTTGGAAGAACCAGTCAGATATAACAATTATGCAGCAATATCATGTAGTTTGAATGCAGATCATGATTATACCATGATGTATGATGACCAAAATAATGATGAACTTTTCAAGGTGGATGAAAAAGCAGAGGAAGGTATGAAAATAATTATTAATACAAAGATCAAACACTAAGAAAAATTCAACTGGCTGAATTCGAATCATCACCTTCAGCCATCAAGTATATAACAAGAAATAGCGACGAAATATCCATCCCTGGCAACTCATCAGGCAAATGTGCTTTATATCACTTAAATACCAACTTTCGTTTGCGCTGAAATCACAAAGTAGAAAACTGAAATTGTACAGCACCAACAACTGACCTGTGTGTATGTCTCCATATATTTCAAAAATATTCTGTATTTATTGTAAAAAGATAGTATCTCTAACAATGAGGGGGGCTGTTCCATTTGGTGGTGTGGGAAAAACAGCAAAACATCTAATTACAAAACAAACGAAATCACATTTCATCGGTAATTAAATATTAAATATGTAATTTTGCAATTTTCGCCCATTGTAGCAAAGCTCAAGTTAATTATTGTTATTATTACGGTGGCTTCGTTTGGGGCCTATGAGGCCCCTCATCACTGCGACCATAAATGATCTATTGTGATCACCACTAATCACAGCTCGGAGCTAACACCAACAGCAATAAGGAACTGTAGGACTTTTCTGGCGCCAAGCTGAAGTTAAACAAGTCTATTTGAAGTGACGACACCCGTCAATTGTTTCGAATTCGGGCTGGCCAATAGGAGCGCAGTTGTCACAGTAATTGTAGACTAGTTTATATAGGTAATTCACCTGGACAGCATCATCTAGGATTCTTCAGCGCTCACTGGGCAGTAGGGACTACTTTGGGAAACTAAGGTTTGCATCTTCTAGTGGCTGACTAGAGATGTCACTTTAACAATTTGCTTTGGAATGGTTCAGGAGTTACCTTACTAACTGCACGCAACAAGTACAATTGTCGAAATCCAATGGTGCTTGCCTGGTGTGAGATCTGAGTGCTGTTGACAGGGGTGTGCCGCAAGGCTCTATATTGGGGCTGTTGCTATTTGTACTTTACACTTCAGATATTACGAGCTGCATTAAAAACTGCAAATATCACCTCTATGCGGATGATGTTCAGTTACATCTGTCTTTCGATCCAGATAGAACCGCCGAAAGTACAAGTCTCATTAATGAGAATCTACACCGCTTATCTATTTGGTCCAGGAACAATGCCTTGGTCTTGAATCCAATCAAATCTCAGCTTTTGATTCTAGGATCTTGTAAACACGTGAGAAACATCCAGTCACTAGCGCCAGTTCTTTCAATTAATGGTGAGAAGATTGCTCAGGTAGCGGAGGCCCGAAGTTTCGGTATAATTATGGACGGTCGTCTTAAACTTGACACTCATGTGGCCGAACTTGTTCGTAGTTGCTTCTATTGGTTAAAAGTGATCTACAGTATTCGACCGTTTCTCAGTGTTGATTTGCGTATTTCTCTACGTGCAGCATTGATGTTATCTAAGATCAACTATTGTATCACGTCGTCATGTCATGCCTTTTGTCTAAAACACTCAAACTTCTGCAGCGTGTCCAAAATGCATGGGCCAGATTTTGTTTTTTTATACATCCTCGTACTCACGTCACTCCTGATCTCAATGCTGCAAATCTACTAAATATAGGGACTCGTCAAAATCTCCTGTATGCAGGACTTTTATTCGATATAGTTAGTTCGATATAGTAGAACAACTGAAAATCTTTACGAAAAACTAATGTGGTCACCTAGTATTAATGTACGCTGTACTGTGTTCTTATGGTACCACAACATAGAACTGCAGCTTTTCGAGGTAGTTTCAAATACTGGGCCTCAAAGTGCTGGAATAATATTCCACCACCTATACGCAACGAGACATCCAAACTCAAATTCAAAGCACTGTACCAGCAAGATCTACTCTCACTTCAAAAATCTGTGTAGTGTGTTTTTATTCTTTAACGTAGTCTGTCTAGAATCGAATTTTGTTGTTGCTTTGATCTATTCTTATTATGTGTATAATTATATTATAATACTAAATACATTACACAACATTAAAACCTCTTTACAGTCACAACTTACTCCTACAGCTGTAATTATATTCACATTCGCTCATGCACTTGCATGTCAAACAGGTTAGTTTAGATGCACTATTTACATTTTACTATGTATATTATTATTGTCAATGTATAACTTTATTCATAGTCGTTATATTTTTGCTTTCTAATAATTTGACTCCTCTCGTTGGTCCTGACTGAAAACCAGTGTTAGGAAAATTTGGTATATGCTGAGTCAGCGCCGTTTCACTGCTATGACTTAATCTGCATTTGTGTTATATCAGTGAATAAAGTGTTTATCTATCTATCTATCTAATTGTACTTCATATTTTGTAATGAACATAATATTACAAGGTATGAAGATGTTATTGGTCCATATCGACTTTAGATTTGTTTGTGAGGGTGGGAGTTTACTAACGTCAATTGCAACTACAGAATAAACAAATTAAACATGTTATGTAACTTACCAACTGGCATTGGTAATGATCGCCGTAATTTCTATATTATTTTTACAAAATGATGCTGGTAAGGGCACAACTCTAGTTGGCCGCCATTAAGGAATAATTATTATTGTAATAATAATTTACCATGCTCGCTGACCAGGAAAGCCTATCACAGCCTAATGGTTTAACCTACTGCCACTCAAGCAGAAGTCGTGAGTCGGAATCGGGACTCGCACCTCTTGAGTTGCATCTCGAGAGTAATTTGAAATTCTCCTTGAGCTTTTTGGTGAATGAAAACATCGTGATGAAACTTGCACGTCGAAGGTTGACATCCCTCGGTAAACGTGTGAAGTCTCCAACCAGCATTGGGTCCCGTGTCCAGAAGTGGGGTGTATAAATGGGCTGATGATGATGATGATGAACCATCCTCAACAAGTTCGATTATTTCTGCAATAAGTAAATTAAATAAGTTTATATTCGTCACCAAATAAGAGGCCAAATTTGACAGCTAAAGAACGCGATTGTATGTAACTTTGAATGCAATCAACGAAACAATAAACAAACAATAATTAGCATAATTGAGTTTAAAAAAATACATAAATTTTATTGAAACATATAATATGACGAAACATATTTGAAGTACTATTTTCGCACGAATTCCAAAATAAAACACAATTTTGAGTTACTCCGAAACGTCCTGAAAACAGTTACGTCCTCAATTTTTTTTTTAAATAGTGTTGTAAGCAAATAATGGCCGAATTTCACCGAGTCACTTCGATTTCTCGGAAAAAAATATTGACTTACTGAATATTAAAACAAAAATGTATAAAAATAGGGGTAATTTCATCTTTTTATGTAGTTGTTTTATCGATGAACATACTTATTTACACTAAAATCTCGTAATATACTCTTTATGAATATTATGAAATCAAAATTAAAAGAAATGGATACAATTCATACGAAATGAATTGCTTTTAACAGAATTGCACGATTTGGCCTTTTAGGCCCCCTGAACAACAATGAACCGCAAAATAATCCAAACAATCACAAACTCTTAAAATTTTGAATCGATTTCTCGTGAAAATCGTATAATGTGATTACCGATATGATTAGTCCACATCCCTATTCGCGTCACGATGACAAGTGTCAAATTTGGCCTCTTATTTGGTGAAGACTATAGTAGCAGTAGAAGTATAAGCACGCCATAAACAAGTATCTTTTTCCATTTCAGAAAAACGGAGTGAAGCTTACCATGAAGGATATTCTTGCAATGTATGCGAAGGAATTATTAAAGGGTAAAGAAACTTACTTAAATAATGAGCATTGACCGAAATATATTCTTTTCTTTTGCCATCATTTTGTTATTAAACATAGAGTATAGGCTGGGCATAAATTCATTTATATGTTGTATTATCTTATCCTATCACATCGCTGGCAACTCCTCACTAGCGTAGTGATGGATTTTTTTTATAATATCAAATGACGGGACGAATAGGTGCGCCTGTCCATAACATTTGCAGTGCCATTCAGAGCTAAGTTAAATAACAAAGATTTTACGTACACTGCCACTGCGCCCGTCACCCTGAGTCAAAGTCAAAGTCAAAAAATCATTTATTCCATAGGTAAAATTTTTAGACTTGAAAATGTCATGTTTTAAGCTACTGCTCGTTCACTACGCTGACCTCCCTGAGAAGAACGAGCAAGACACTCTAGGGATTGCTCTTGTCAAATAAACTTAAATGCTATGGAACACACTTTCAATCATAATTGTGTGGAATCTAGACTCAACAAGAGTCTTTCCATACTTCTTTATCTAATCCATACTCTTCAATTTTATAATATGACTTTTCAATTAAAATACTTTTAATGTAAGTAAAACTCAGGAAATAATAATCTTAATATCGCACATAAATAAATAAATAACGCACACACTCAACATAGTCGCACTAGGGAAACCCTGTGTCACGGGTGCCATGGACACGCACATAGACAACCACAAATTACACCCAAAGTCACGAGAGAAATAAATATAAGCCATACAAATATTTCTCACGACCCGGGAATCGAACCTGGGACCTCTGCGTGGCATGGTAACCGTTCGGCCACTGAGGCAATTGACATGACAACTAACATATATTATCTCAAAATGGCTTTAATTTATATTAATATCACCTATGTAGTTTCAGAGCGACAGTATTGTCCTGTCACTTTGCAATTAAATCGTAAGTGAATGGACACATCAATATGGCGAAATTTTGAAGAAAAATTATTAATATAACGCAATTTTGAGGTAAAATATAACATGACGCCATTTTCGAGATAATACTATGTTAGTTGTCACGTGCGATATATTCTCCGGAATCTTATTGTAAAAACGTATACAGTTCCCCATAAAGGAATCGTTTATCTTAGTTAAAGGAATTCGTACCATGACTATGGACTTAGTTCGGTTATTATTGTGGATTTTTTCTTTCTTAATGAAATTATGTATATTTTTACGGGCATACAAAATATTTGAGTAAATGTACTATGATGCTACAATCATGATACCAGTCTCCTTAATAAGTTGGCAAGTCCCATGTGCCTGTAAGTTCACCAGTACCCTTACCCATCTAAACCGGAACGCAGTAATGCTCACATTACTGCTTGGCGGCAGCAATAGATAAGGTGGCAGTGCTTCCCTGGAGGAATTCTTTCACAAGGAGTTCTACTGCTACTAAATGATATGTTACGTGATGTTTACGTCGATTATGATTTTATGTTGATGATGAGTGATGATAATGGCATTTCAGTTATCGATACACATGCGTGCAATGTCGGGACTTCGATCTATGCCATAGATGCGAAGAAAAGGGATTACATAGTTTACATTATGTGTTGAGGATACCGAAACCCAGGGCTAATGTAAGTACGAACTTAGGCACCGTCCTATACAGTGGTAGTACTTGGATTTTGAAATCTCTTTATTAACAGAAAAAGTTACACGTAAATGTAAATGAGTGAATTGCATATCGCTTTTCATAGCGTAGCCATCTCGGAGGTCCCGGGTTCGACCCCGACCGGGTCAATGTAAAAAAAAACGAATTTTTCTTTATTGTCTCTGGGTGCTTGTGGTACCGTCGTTATTTCCGTATTCCATAGCAGTTACTTACTTTTGGGTCAGAGCAACGTATGTGATGTTATCTAATATCTATTTATTTATTCAGTCTTATACATAGGTATGTTGTTATTTTTAGACACGTTTTTATAAGACTTCCAATCCATTATGCCAGAAAAGTAAACAAACCGGTTTGGTTAAAATTCTAAAGCAATCACTCAATAAATGGAATAAGCAACACTTTCACGTATAATTTTGAAAATTTCGACTTGACATCTCATCACTTTTTTATTATACTTTTTACCAGCAATATTCATTTGAATAACATCTTAAAATCTTATTTGAAAAATTTTTGTTCAAAACTGATCAAATATGATGATGATAGTAATCAAATATAGATTTGTGAATAGTCAACGGTTGCATAGGGCTCTGTACGGAAATAACTCATTCGGTTCATTCAATTAAAGTTTTTGTAATCGATTAGTGAATCGTTAATTTTATCACAATCGAATGAATATCGCTCCCGGACAAAATTCGAGCCACCTTACATTTTTATCCTTAAAGGGCTAGAATATATAAATACAGTTATCATTGAGGAAATAGTTTTCTCCAGTTTTTTAAATTCAAATTTTCAATAAGGAGTTAAGGAAATGACGTTTAGTATACCAATTTCAAAGTTGCATAACAGCGTTTTTGAGCAATCAAGCATGTTTTAAGCTAAGGGCATTTAATATTAAAAATGCAAGGTGGCTCGAATTATGTGTCCGGGAGTATATAAGATTTGAAGGAGGATTTAAAATTAGACTTCGGAAATTTTAAATTTGCTTTTATAGGTTATGTTAAAAAGTACTCTAAATTTTGTGTACGAAATATCATCACTCAGTATTAAATAACATATTTTTTATAGTAATCAGCAGCGAAATCGCAAAACCCATTTTATTTTATAAAACCCAGCTGTTCCAACTGATTCAATTAAGCGAATCAATTCATTCAATTAATTAATCGATTTGTAGTTGGCAGTACAGTTGGTCATCACTAAACTGTCCATGGTCCGGTCAATGATCTGTTTGTTTACTTTACTGGTACATTGGATTGGAACAAAGTATAACATAGTAGCTACATAAAAAATAAAAATTATTATAAGAACTTACAGTCGACGTTTTAAACATTAAGTCAATTAACATTGTTTTAATTCATAACATTTTATAATGTAAGTAAATAAATATAAAGTCTACTACTACTTGGAGCGTCGGCACGGATTTTGAAGAAGCCGGTTCGAATCCAGCCGGATCGAAGGAATTTATCTTAGTGTTCGATATTTGCATTAATAAATTGTAACAAACTAGTGGAGTAATTTCACAAAAAAATTGAATATTATGATAGTAAAACATTGTGATATTAAATAAAATTCATATTACAAAAAAAACTTAATTTAAAAGCACTCAAATATATTTCGGACAAGTTGCGCTCGCTTGTTGCTAATACTCATAAAGCATTTTTTTTGTTAATAGAAGGGTATATTTTCTTACAGGATGACGTAGAAAACCTTTTAAGCATCATAAGAAGAGAATTGTTCGGCGAAAACACAGCGAGCCGTAACACTACTCCGAAAGATCAATTTGACCCCATTCTTGATATGTGTGTAAACGTGGATAGGTAAGTGCTTGTCACAACGACGCCATACGAACGCTTTTATAAAAACATTTGTAGATATAGTTGTATTTTTAGGCTTCACTTTAGATGCGAAATTGCAATGGGGTTCATAAATAACTAAGTTACCGAAACAGCTCGCCCTTTAAACTTTCAGACGTAGAAACTAGATTGATTTACTTTAGCTACTTTCACAGCTGCTTGACATACGGCATATTGCTTTAGGATAATGCCGCCGATATTAATAGAATCTTTATCCTGCAAAAACATGACAGAAGTTGAAAAGACGTTACCGCTAGTGTAAGTGTAAGAAAAAAAAGTATTTGCCAAGTTTTATTGGAATAGATTGGCGGAAGTGGGTGAAATGTAATAAACAAAATTCTTACCCCCTTAGTGGTGGTATATTTTCTTCACTGAGGTACCCCCTGTCCAACAAAAAAAATCATCGAAATCGGTTCACAAATGTCGGAGTAATCGAATAGTAACACACACACACAGAAACACACACGCACAACTGTTGAATTGAGATCCTCCTCCTTTTTTAAGTCGGTTAAAAAGTATTTCCACAACATTTCGCTGCAATGTAAATTGAACATTTTACTTTAGTATTTTATAAACTTAAATAACTTTAAAGACAATTAATACGTATTTATTTATTTTGTTTCAGTGTAGAGGAAGTACTGTTTGTGGATCCAAAGGCGTCTGATAAACCATCTATTGCAAATCAATTACAGCATAAAGTAGATGAGATACACGTTGAAACTAATAATGTAATTATAAAGAACAAACAATTTAAGCTTCATAAATTATATGTAGTATTTCATTGCCCTTGGTGTTAATAGTCGAAACCAGGGATGGACAAGCACCCCGGGTTTTAACCCAGCACTTTGTTAAAGCCAGGTTTAAATTGGGTTAAAACCCGAAATCGAGGGCGAAAACTATTTACTATATATTTGTTCTTTTTTTTATAACATCAAGTGACGGGACGAACAAGTCGTGCGCCTGATGGTAAGCCACACGCCTGTCCATAACAGTTGCTGTGCCACTCAAAGCTTTAAATTGCAAAGATCTGAGGGGCACTGCCACGGCGCCTGTCACCTTGGATATAGGTTGACCAGTCCCATGTGCCTGTAATTTCACCAGCATCCTTACCCTTCAAAACCGGAACGCAGTAATGCTAATATTACTGCTTGGTGGCAGAAATAGGTAAGATGACAGTACTTCCCTGGACGAACTCTTTCACAAGGAGTTCTACTGCTACTAGATGTAAATCGAGTTTTATTAAAATTTAAATGATATTATTACAAAACGTTTTTGCTTTCTGATCTAGACTATTCGATTTGCCTTTCTATTACATCGATTCGCTTGAAAATCGCATTAAAATAAATCGATACAAAAAATCGTTAGACATATACACTTGAATCGATGTTCATAAAAATCAAGTTTTTGACCAAAAGCCTTTCGTGTACATTTCCACTTACGTCCGCATATTGTCTGAATATTACTAAAAAAAGCAATTTTTTTTACAGGATATTCGACCAGAGACGTATAAAAAAGCTATTGCCACCCAATTTTATAGTAATAATAGGAAGAAAACATTACCGAACATTATTGAAAAACGAAACGCATTTTTGCAACAAAAAGAAAATGATAAAATACGAATAGCAAATGTGTCTTTGTATCGAAAATTTAGTGAAAATCTAAGTTTTCTACCTTTATCAGATCCTATCACTGCCGGTGGTGATGATGGCGTAATTTTTTGTGATAGTGGCCAAAGTGAAAAGGGCGCAGTAAGACAAAATGGTAATGTAAATCTACATAGCGCACAGAAATTTGCTCCAAGATGGCTGCCGAAAAGAGAAGTAATTAGTAAGGAATCAAGTCAAGCAAAAGCGAGACCGAAAATTATTATTTGTAAATCAAAATTAGTAAGAAAAGCGAAGCTTAAGAAAGGTAACGAAAAGATTTTTAGTGTATTATAAATTTCGATTCTGTAATATTATGTTATGGCATAATAAAACACTCATTTGCATAATCTAACGATATATTCGCGTTGCATAACGCTTGGTCCCAACGCGCCTTTCATTTTTACGCGAATGTGTGCGTCCGCACACGGTGTGCGCACATACAAGGCACGTTGTTATTTTGTACGGAGTTACCGTACTTGTTTTATTCTATGATTCTAACGACCTCAGAGGCCCACAATGTAAACCACATTGTGTGTGCTGGATACGGAGGTCCCGGGTGCGATTTCCGGTACTATCAATTTGGGAAATGAACCTTTCTAAATTGGTTCTGGTATGGGTATTCTGAGAAGTCCCAGAGTGAATTCCGTTACTCAGGTACTCAGGGAATTCTCTAGTTGGAGACCAGGCAATTGATGCAGTCGTCTGGCACATATCATTATTATCCTGACAAGTCGCTACTGGCATTTGCATTATAATAAAAAGGTCGAGCACAGTGGTGGCCTATGCGCAGCAGCGGGACAAAGTAATTTAAAAATAAAGGATGAAATACTTGTTAGTGGTAGTTACATCGATGGATTTTTTTGTTGCAGCGCGCATTCTTCTGACAAGATTGTCGCAAGAAGAAATCGACGCCGCAGTTAATAAATTTAAGAGAAAATGAGAAATATCAAATATATTTTTGTAAATTAATTAGTGTATTGTTTGATTTCATAGTCCCTCAGTATGTTTCCGTACATAATGTGATGTTTCTTTGGCTGTGTTGCGTCATTAATGATACAGGTTTACAAATAACCTGTTCAAAATTCTAGACATGTGCTGCCACCTATCTGTTGGTAATGGACTGGTATAATATTCTATTATCTGTGGTAATGGTTTGTGTATGTAGGAAGCATAGGAGATGGCAAAACTTTCTACTTATTTTAAATTTCTTACAAGTGTGTTAATTGGGATGTATTTAAGAATATGAAATCAGCCTGCCAAATTTGTATATACAATCAGTTTTTTGCATTTCAGTAACTATGTGCTTTAAGATACGAGTTTGAGAAAATAAGGCGACGGTAGAGCCATTGAAGAATGAGTAGGAACTTAATCAGATGGTAGATATTAAAATCCTAATCTAATTTCCTTTTGTTTCGATTGCAGTTTTTAAATAGCGTGGTTTAAACAAATACTACACTTGCATGATCTAAAACGCCTGTTCAATAATAAGTGTTTCGGTTAAACGCCGGTAGATGGCAGGGACTTCAGGGTTGCCTATTTGTTTTGCGTACCTATATTTTTTGAAACAATGATTAGGTAATGTTCATTATAATCTTCGGTGACTTCGTAACGGCATTCGCAGTACAACTAGTTAACAGTCGATTCCATGAAAAGAAGTGTGGTTTTAGCGTTGTAAAGCATCGGTGTAAACGTGGAACATACCTGCCCAGTACGACAAAGGTGAAATAGGAAATAAAAATACGTCAAATTATTTTTTTCACATTCATATATTTTTTCATTCAAATCACTATAGATATTCTGTATATTATGTAATCGTTATTGATACAGCTAGGATAAAATATCTGTGGATCTCAACTTACCTCTCTCTTCGTCTAAATTTACCCCTCTTTAGCCCTATGAGTACCGTCGCCACATTAACATGAACATGATTTGAGATTTTTTATAAAAAAATATAAGCATATTTGTACAAAAACTAACTTCATTTTAAATAATATGTTACCGACATTTTTACGTTTACCAGACCAAGGTTTTCAGTGTGTCCATTTTTGATAGCTCCACAGATATTTCGGTTGGGTTGAACACATGTAGAAAGTTTAAGTAGTACATAATAAGTTCTTGCTAGCTGTCTGCTTCCGACTGGAAGTGCTGGCCGGTTATCATGACACGTACCACTTAAAAACATTCACAAGAAACTTTCTGGGCCCTTACCAATGTCAAAATACGGCCTATCTTCAGCCTATTGATATCTGTTGCGACAAAAGGACTGTCGGTCCATGGAAATTAGGCAAACAGCTAGTGTGCGATACGACCTGTATGGACACTGGCTTCTTACAATGTCCACGCAAGCATGATCTCAGCCGTTTCCTTCTTAGATGGCTATAAGGTAGCCAGCCTCCTGGGCACGATCCAAAATCGTAGCACTTGATCCAAAACTTTAAAACTTAAACTTTAAAAGTTAAAGGTATATACATACAAAATATGTTTTCATTTTATTTTATATTAACTCTATGTAGGACACAATGTCTTTTATTTAATGCCAATATGTTAATTAAGTATAAAAATCTTATTGACTTGTTTTACATTGAATAAACCTGCTTTCCGGATTATAGCCATAGCCATACATAGCTATAGCTCAACTTTTCAGCCTTTGGCAATATATTCCTGTTTTCTTTTGGCAGGACGCTCAATAGACTAGGCACTCCTTAAATTAAATAGGTTACAAACTATATTACCAGTCTTATAAACCATACAGTTGCGCAACGAATGTAATTGCGCAGAGCAACGGTGGGACACTCGAGAGGAGTCGGGCGGCGACGGCCGCATCCTGCAAACACGCATAGTTTGCCGGATCGAGCGCTAAGGGTTGACGCATGCGTATTTTTGAATATATTCGGTACGACTGCACTCAACGAGTGAATTTAAGTCCGCGTAATAGTATTAAGTATGGCGTTATATTTGTGTAAATAGTTTTAGCTTAACTGGTACATAACCAGTTACACAGTTTTCAATACGTTATGTACAAATTAGCAGTAAGAAATGTATAATAGAAAAGTATTTGTAATAGATTAACATGTGAAAGATGAATAAATAGTACAAAGGGGGTGAGGTAACTTTTGGCGGGAAAAGGAAGGCTCGCTCACCTATAAACGGCGCACTGGCGCCAATAGACACACAGGCCAAAAACAGCCTAAGCTCGAGATACATCGAAAAACCCGAAGAGCCAGCAGCCAACCTTACCAGACAAAAGCCAGCCTCCAGATCTTCACAGTATATATATACAATCGTTGTTTGATTTGAAACCAGTCATAGGTGCATCCCGCACAGAATTTGTTCAGCAGTTCTACGAAAATTGTTGTATGTATATTATATAACGGCGTACATAAAATGTAATTCGGTGTACGTATGTACCTAATTCGAAATCGAATTATTAAACTTACTAAGTAGATTTCAATCACAGCCATGCTCATTCTTTTTTGGTTTAAATTGTTCATCCCAATGCGAATGTACTATAAAATCTAAAAATAAAGTGTCACGTAAATATTTGGCAGTGCTACACTTGTAAATCTTTACTAATAGTAAGTAATATTTAATAATTATCGCGTATTGATAAGTAACAATTATTGTTAATATTTGATTACGTCATAATAATCACAATTTTGTTTCCATTTTTGACAACCCTTGCATATCTGCGTACGACAGCGTGAGAGTAACTATTATAATAAGGGTGGCGGTATCGCCAAACATCAAACGCGTTGCGCTACTGTAGGAAACATATCGCCTCTTGTATAATATAAATAATGACCTAAACCAAAACAGTATTTTTTTTCGTATATCGTAGCGCTCTAGATACGACTCCTATTACTTTAAAAAATCTTCCAGTTCAATTTTAGTCGTCACAAAGTAAGAGGCCGAATTTGACAGCTATGGAAGATGATAGTATGTAACTTTGAATTCAATCAAATAAATTGTAAACAAACAATCCGGGCGATGTAGTGCAAAAATTTTAAAGGCGTTAACTGTGGTCAATTTTATCGACAAAAACACCCTCATATCGGTTCCTCACCTCCCTCAAATTACAGCTACTTCAATTTTTATTCTGAAAATAATCCCTTGCCTACTTAAACACACCTGCGAAAAAAGGTTCACAGACACAATTAGCCTACGTTTTGGTGTCATTTGGAAGCTAAGAACATTAACTACCAAAAATAAAGTAACACGAGCCCTATATATTTTGTGCTAACAAGATGAATTATACTATAAAGTCTCTTATTTTCTTCAGAATTTTGCTACTTAACTACAGGTTGTACTTATGAACTTTGTTAATGTCACTACAACAACTGCATGTTGTCACCGCAATCATTTAAAATACTTATTTTTATGTTAAACTCTATATTGCTTAAATAAATGTTAATTGTTCTATCTAGAACTGAAAACTAATTACTCGAAAAATAATCTTAATGATCAAAAACTCATAAAATGTCAAATCGATTTCTCGTGAGAATCGATTAATATGGCTATCGATATGTTTAGTTACATCCCTATTTAGGTTGCAATGTGTCAATATGTGCCTCTATATTGTGACGACTACAGGTGTTTTTGAGATAGGTCGTTATTCTAGAAAGGCATGGATATTATAATGCTGTGCTAATACTATAGGATATAAAAATATCAATGGCACAAACAATGAAAATACCTCCATATTGGATTATATTAAGTAATCTATCATTTGTAATGTTTAATTAACGTCACGTTTCACTGTAATGATGTGTATATGTTTTTTTACAAAAATACGTCACTATACTACAAATTTTTTAGGATGATCCCTGTCATAGGGATGAGGTAAAGTTGATAGATTTTTGGTTTAATTTATTTTTAAAGCTAAGGTTCTCTCTTATACAGCCTTGTATAACGCCACATCTTGTATGTGCCACGTATTTTTTATTGTTCCCTGCTGTGTTCTCTGTTAAAGTTACTTGATTTTGTTGCTTTTATTTGTTGACTTTTACTTTGTTTTGTTTAATTTGGCGGTTGTTGTTTAACCATGTTGAAAAGACTCAAAAAGATTATCCTCAACAGTCAAGTGCGGTAATTTGTAGTGCGTTTACGTGACTATATTGATCGCGAGAAACAGAATAATGGACCCCTCCTGGCTGTTGTACAGATGTATGAAGTGTTTTGTATTATGTAAGGCATAAAAGACCCAACTAAATTCACATGCCATTTCAATTGATGTTTTAAAAAGACTCCTAATGTAGATTAAAAACATTAACATCATATCACTAATTACCTAATAGATTAAGCTCGTGTACGCACTATATATTTATTAATTAAATCATCGAAAACTATTTATCGATATGCCTCTTCTCTAGCAAATGCAGTCTAATGAAGTAACCTTTGTACGTTGTCGTAAAGATAAATTAATTTTTGAAGAAAAAATATGCTTCTCTGCTCATTTCTCAATAATTTGGTGTTACTGTTACAATAATTTTATGCTTAAACAACATTTATTCACTTAAAAGCGAGACTTATATAAATTGTAAAGTACGTAAATTAGTGCACGTCGTTACAAGGTGATATTATGTAGAATTTTGCGAAGTGTCACAGGGATCATCCTAGAAAATTTGTAGTATAGTTATTACATACTAGTGGAGTGTTAATTGAGCGATAACTTCATAAGTTTCTCATAGGTTAAAAAGGGCGTTAAAACCCTATACAAAAATCTTTAACAAACACAAACAAATTAGAACGATCCGATGACTCTAACAGCCACCAGTTCGAGACTAGGGATGCACGTTACGATTTGATTTTTACAAAGATCGATTCAAGTGTATACTACGATCTAGCGATTTTTAGTATCGATTCATTTCAATGCGATTTTTAAGTAAATCGATTCAACATTAAGGCGAATCGAATCGTCCAGATCGTATTCATATTTTAAACAAAAATCTCTTTCTGAACCCCTATTCTATATAGGCATGGAAGAAAAGCAGTTTGGCAATATCTAAGTACAATAAGTCTGTCTTACTATATTTGGCAATTTCGCAACTTATGTGCCATCTGAACATCTTTTTTCACTGGCTAGTATCACTTTAAATGAAAGTCGTAACCGACTGCAGCCAAACAGGCAGTCAAAATTATTTTTTTTTATCGAAATTAATTTTCAATCGATTTTTATGAGATCGATTCAAGAGTATACGATCCCATCTGTGGATCGATTCTGAGGGATATGATCCATTACGATCCAAATTATTGATTGAAAGAAAAAAATAATCATGCATCCCTATTTAAGACTAAATAGACTTTAGAAGGATTTTTTGAAGGATATAAACTTTCATTTATTCTCCCTTCTTTCTTAACTTATTGACTGCCGCGTCGATATCATGCTGCGTTAATCTTGCCAATACGATGCGCACTGGAACAAACAATTTTCTATTAATAGTGTTACTTCTTTAGTTAACCAGGACTGTCCCACTGCTGGCCATAACGCCCTTCTTGTCATAAACAACGCATTTGTATTTTGGTAACTTTCGAGACATTGGCACTTAGCTTTTTTTCTATGAAATATGTCAATTACGTTGAATGTAAATGACAATAAAACTGATATTGAATAAGATAAAAGATTTAGTAGCAGTAGAGTCCCTTGTGAAAGAGTTCGTCCAGGGAAGTACTGCCACCTTACATATTTCTGCCGCCAAGCAGTAAGCAATGCTGAGAAGAGGCCTTTGACGTCGAACAAAGGGAGGCCTATGCTGCCGTCCTTATCACACGTCCTTATACACATTGAGTGATCTTGTTCCGTTGCACTGAAGGCGATGTTCGAAGAAAAGTGTATAGCTTGATTTAATTATTTTTATTATACCAACTGACGAGACGAACACGTCGTGGTAAGCGTCACGCCTATCCATAACAGTTGCAGTGCCATTCAGAGCTTTAAATCGCAACGATCTTATGGGCAGTGCCACTGCGCCCGACACCCTGTGACATACGTTCACAAGTCCCATATACTTGTATTGTAATGCAGTAATGCTCACATTATTGTTTGGCGACAGAAATAGGTAAGGTGGCAGTACTTCACTTGACGAACTCTATCACAAGGAGCTCTATAGCTGCTAAAAATACAGGATTAACTTAAATTACTGGACAAATGTGTAAGATTGTTGGCCACATTGTAGCCAAGCGTTCGTGTATTTTAGATTAAAATTAAATCTCAGTATAGAGTTTTAAAAACCGACCTGAAAAGTTGGTGGAATTACATCTATTTGCCGAGTTTTATTGAAATCGGTTACCGGAAAGTGCGCGAATCCGGATTCATCCCCCAGTTTGCCACCCTTAGAGGTGGAATATTTTCTTCAAATTTGAATGGGACCACTGCTGAGGTACCCTCTTTCAAATAAAAAAGAATCATCCAAATCAGATCACAAATTGAAAATTTAAAATCGATTAAATTTTTATTGAATTGATATTCAATTATGTTTTGTGAAATTTTTTTGTGAAATTACTCCACTAGTTTGTTATAATTATTAATACAAAGATCGAACACTCAGAAAAAACATACTCTTCATACCCTAACTGGGTGATAAATTTGTAATAGATTTCTCATAGATGGCGCTACGACTAAAAAGTCGTTGAAAGACCAAGTACAAAGACACGACGCAAGCACATAGAAAAATTCGTGAGGTCCGTTGGTTCGTTCCGTGGCTTAGTTGGTATAGCGTCTGACACGGTATGCAAGAAGACGTCCGTTCGAATCCGACTGGATCGAAGGAATTTTTTCTGAGTGTTCGATCTTTGTATTAATAATTATAAATTAAAATCGGTTCAAAAAGTTACGTAATGTACATACAAAAAAATACAGACGAATTGAGAACTTCCTCCTTGCTTTGAAGTCGGTTAAAAAATTGCTTAAAAAGCCGGAAGACATTGGTAGTAGCGATAATTTTTTTTACCACTTTTCAAAAATAGTAGAGTCTTACCTGTCTTAAGTTTAGCTTTTCTTATAAATTTTGATTTACAAAAAACAATTTTCGGTCTTGCTGTCTCTTGTTTTGGTTCCTTATTTATTTGTTTAGTTGTGCTAGTACTGCGTAACCGTTTAGAGATAGATTTCGAGGCTTTGTAAAGATTTTTACTGCTGTTTTGTCGACTTACGACTCCATTTTCATACTGGCAACTATCTTGAGAATTATTAACACGAACTTCACCGGTAGTTAAAAGATTCGATTTTGGTTGATAACTTAGATCTTTACAAAATTTTTGGTGTGTAAGTATATTTGATTCTTTTTTATTTTGTAGTTCTGTTTCATCTTCTTGTGTAAGTCTCTCTTTTATGCATACAAATGGTATTTTCGTTGGTAGTGTTTTATCTGGTAACATTACCCTTGCTAACGATTTCTCTGGTATTTTTTTCTTTGATAACATTTCCCATGGTAATGTTTTCTCTGGCAATGTGTTTTTCATTGGTGAGGCTTTTTCTGGTAATGTTTTCTCGAGTATTATTTTCTTTGGTACGTTTTTCTTCGGTATATTTTTCTCTGGTAACGTTTTCTTTGGTAATGTTTTCTTTGGTAATGTTTCCTCTGATAATGTTTTCTCTGGTAATGTTGTCTGTAGTATCTTTTGTTTAGGTAATATTTTTTTTGGTAATATTGTCTCTGGTAATGTTGTCCCCAGTATTTTTTTCTTTGGTAATGTTTTCTTTGGTAATGTTACCTCTGGTAATATTATCTCTGGTAATGTTATCTCTGGTAATGTTATATGTGGTAACGTTATCTCTGGTAATGTTATGTGTGGTAACGTTTTCTTGGGTAATGTTTCTGTTAATAATGCTATTTTTGGTAAACTTTTCTTCGTATGAAACCATCTTTTATATGTAATAGCTGGTTTTTCTTGCAGGTCTGGTTGACTTTCCTATAAAAAAAGGCATTATAAGGCAACAGAGTAATATTTTCTGTCATAAATATAGTGATAAGAATGCTATGTTGTCATATCAGAATGGCAACACACATACATGTATATAATAGTCACGCTTTGCCAGGCGGGTTGGGGATGCAGTAAAGATGCAATCTTACTACTTACTCCTTCTTCTTGCCGTGTCGATTCTGACGTTTATTATATCGTTTTACTACTCCTGCATCAACGTTTCCCAGAAAACAATTTTTCTTCAAATTAAATATTATCACCCAAATTCAGAAGGACATTTAAAAAAGAATTAAAATAAATGTGTAATTTACATACGGAAGATGCAACAAAAGATTAGAACATTGTGCTAGCGAGTACGTATTTAGGTTTCTAAATATAAAAAGTCCTCAGATGACTCTTAAAGTAGATGAAATCGTTAAAATTTTGACAATTTCGGTGAATATGGCATAATGCACCTGTGTCTCATGTGATGTATTATGCTCTTCTTGATTTTCAATTGATGGTTTATGGAGTGCCATATACTTCAGAGGATTTTTCTTTAATCTGAAACAAAATAATTAATAATTTTTACTTTTGGCAGCAGCCCCTGCTCGATTAACACTACCGAACATGAGTATTTTCAAAGAATTTAGGTCGTAGTCACCACCACTCATATTGTGTTAATGTGAAAACAATTTTTTTAATATATGTGTCATCCCTAACTAACATTCGCGTTCCAGTAGTCATTCAAGGTTAGAATCAAATAAAAAATGAATGCTGGACGAGATGTGTAGTAAATTACAATAATAAAAAACTTAAATTTTTTTATATGTTTTATAACTAACTTTTTTCAAATGGTTTCTGTGATTTTTTTATTTTTTAAATTTGAAACATTTGAATATCGACTTTCAATTGTTTTTGTTATTCAATTTAGACAAGAAAGATGGATACTGCGAAAATTCGAGTGATTTTTGAATACGAGTTCCGACGCGGAACTAACGCGGCAGAAACAGCCCGCAATATCAATGCTGCGTTTGGAGAGGGGTCTACTAATGAACGCACCGTGCGATTTTGGTTTAAATGCTTTCGTGATGGAAATTTCGACTTAAAGAACGAGCCACGAGGAAGACCGCCCACACAGGTGAATAACGATGAGAGATTAAGAGAGATAGTGGAAGCCGATCCTAGTCAAACTACCCAGGAATTAGCGGCATGGTTTAACGTTACCTTACCCACAATATTGACTCACTTCACGTCAAATCAATAAAATAAAAAAATACGAAAAATGGGTGCCTCATGATTTGACTGATCTGCAGAAAGAAACGCGTGTTGAAACTTGTGTTGCCTTGTTGAACCGGTACAGAAATGAAGGAATATTGGATCGAATTGTAACATGTGATGAAAAGTGGATTCTTTATGATAACCGGAAAAGAAAAATGCAATGGCTGACCCCAGGTCAAATGCCACAACAGTGTCCTAAAGCAAAACTTACCAATAAAAAGGTAATGGTAACTGTTTGGTGGTCTCAGCATGGTGTTATTAACTATAGTTTTCTCCGATCTGGTCAAGCAATAACGGCAGATGTCTATTGTGCCGAACTCCGAACCATGTTGACAAAACTAGCAGTAAAACAGCCCCGACTCATGAATCGATCTTCACCATTATTGCTCCACGACAACGCGAGACCTCACACAGCACGAGAAACCATTTTGACCCTTCAGGAACTGCAGTTAGAAACCATTCGTCATCCTCCGTATTCACCAGACCTTGCTCCAACGGACTACCATTTTTTTCGTGATTTGGACAATTATATACGTGACAAGAAGTTTTCTTCCCAGGAGGCAGTACAAAATGCTTCCACACAGTTTGTGCAGTCTAGATCGTCGGAGTTCTATCGCAAAGGCATTAATAACCTTCCCATTAGATGGCAGCAATGTATAGATAATAATGGCAACTATTTTGATTAAATAAATTGGTTAAAAATTTAAAAAATAAACAATTTAGATTTTCAGTACAAATCGGCAATTTCATACTTTAACCCCTATTATTAATACAAAGATCGAACACTCAGAAAAAATTCCTTCGATCCGGCCGGATTCGACGACGACAAGCTTGTGGAGTAATTTCAGAGAAAATAATTGAATATGAATTCAATAAAACAATTAAATACAGTGAATAGCGATATCTCTAGCCGGGGCTGGTAGATGTAAAGGTAACTGAGTGACGAAATGCTTTCATCGGTTTCTCATAGATGGCGCTACGGCTAAAAAGTCGTTGAAAAACCAAACACAAAGATACGACGATAAGTATACAGAAAAATTCGTGAGGTCCGTTGGTTCGTTCCGTGGCTTAGTTGGCATAGCGTCTGGCACGGTTTGCTAGAAGACGTCGGTTCGAATCCGACCGGGGCGAAGGATTTTTTTCTAAGTGTTCAATTTTTGTATTAATAATTATAAAATCTTACAATTTTTTTCTTTTCACCCTCCTATATAGAAATAAGTATTAATGGGTATCTATCGCCAACTTAATTACTTTATTAATTTAGTGCCTCCGAGGCCGAACGGTTACCATGCTAGATTGCCACGCAGAGTTCCCGGGTTCGACTCGCGGGAGAAATATTTGTATGGCCTACATTTACTTATCTCGTGAATTTAGAGTGTAATTTATGGTTGTCTATGTATGCGTCCATGACACCCGCGACTCTGTGGTTTCCCTAGTGCGGGGCTATGTTGAGTGTGTGTGAATTTGGCTACAGTATAGAAGATAAATGCTTGTTTTCACTTCTTAAAAATATTGAACACTCTTACGCATCAACAACAGGATCAAAGTGTTCAAACGTCGGTGGAGGTTTTTCGTCGCACAATTGCCTTCTTAAGACGCTTAAAACTGCTCTTAGGTCCTCCTGAAAGCGAATAATATTATATTTTATACTTATCGTTAAAAATTCAACAATAGCGTCGAGACCACGACTGCATGAATTGATTACGACTGCAAACATGCAGTCAATCTGTTAGCAGCCTAAGACTTAACTTGATTCTGCATTGACTAGTTTGAACTTCATCTTATCGAATTGATACTTCTTTTATTTTAGGACTATATTGACCCTGAATTGCTACATTGACTGAGCTGTCCGTGGCCACGTAGAGACCTTCCCTCGTACAGGTATTAGGATATAGGACACAAGGGGCACAACAATAAGTGTTGCATGGACTGTGTTGGGGCACCGCAGTAACATTGGGTTTGACTAGTATCCATGAAACCCCATTTAACACATCGCGTCTCTGCAGCGTCCTACCTGAGTGTGAAGACGATTTAAGGACTTCTACACGGGCCACCGCAGATCGCAACCTGGTGGTAGTTGCTCTTGAGGTATGATGAAATCAATCATTGTACTTGTGTACAATGCAAGTACAAAACCGCATTAAGCATTTTTAACCTCTATTTCATAGCCACAAACATCGAATATATAACCAGAAATAGAGACGAAATGTCATTTAATTTGTTTGTAAATAATTCAGCCAAATCATTTCGGTGACAACTGCGCTCCGATTGGCAAGCCCGAATTCGAAACAATTGACGGGTGTCGTTAATTGTTTCATTTCACTTCGACCAGTTTAACTTGAGCTTTGCTATAATGGACGAAAATTGAAAAATTACATGTTTGAAAAGAAATGTGATTGGGTTTGTTTTATAACTAGGTGTTTTGTTGTTTTTCCCATACCACCGAATGGAACAGCCTCCCATTGTTAGAGATATTATCTTTATTACAACAAATACAGAATATTTTGGAATATACGGAGACGTACACGCAGGTCAGTTGTTGGCGCTGTACTATTTCAGTTTTCTAATTTGTGTTTTCAGCACAAACGAGAGTTGATATTTCAAAGTGATATAAGGACCATTTGCCTAATGAGTTGCCAGGGATGGATGGCCCTTATTTCGTCTCTATTTCTGGTTATATACTCGATGACCACACAGGGTTTCCCGCGACACAGGGTTTCCTAGTGCGGGGCTATATTAAGTGTGTGCGTTATTATATAAATAATCGTAAACAAGTTGATAAAAACATTACAGGCACGTCGACAGTAAATTGTGCTTTAAGAGGTATTTCAACGCGAGCCGGTATTCTCTCGCTGTAGAGCTCTCTGATATAAATTGATATGAATAAAATAAGAACAGGCGGACAAAATTTGAACAAAGCTCAGACGTCGCCAAGCGCCCAATGGCGACTGACGGGACAGCGGGCGGTGTCGTGTCTTTAATCCGCTGGGCAATTCGCAAACTTTGGGACAAATGTGAATTTAATAACCATTGGGCACGAGTTGAAAACTAAAATTTAGCAGGTTTATTTAACATCAAGTCATATGCTTCACCGGAAAAAAAAATCATGTTTTACCCGAATAATACTTACTAATGCCCTGGGTTCCGGTATTCTTAGAACATAATGTGAAAAATGCGAGCCTTTGGCTTCACAAGAGCTGCACAAATCGAAGTCGCGGCATTGCACGCATGTGTATCGGTATCTGAAATATAAGTAAACATTTTTCAATAAAAAAATTATATATATCTATATAAGTAGTTTTTAATTTGTATGGAAAGTAAAACATTTTTCCTATAAAATTCATTGTGGCGTGATACCAAACAACTCAATAAAAATGGAAGTAAAGTAAAGTTAATTTGCTACTCCGCGAATCCAGAGAAGGTTAAATCGTGCAAAATAGCTGCGCTTGTGTTGAATATTTTTTCATGCAGTTAATTATCCCACCCTCACTCCGCATAAAATTAATAGTCTCAAACCCTCACCAAAAGTATACCCGACACGTGTTTCGCCTTTCCACGAGGCATCCTCAGGGGCTGCACTATTCGGCCGAGCGTCGAGCAGTCAACAGCCCCTCTAAGTGCGACTTTTTGGACCTCCTAATGGCAACTCCCGAACACGAGTCGGAACAGAGTAAAAACCATTTGGCGACTCCACTGCGACTTGGGTGGTGACTAGCCACGGCCGAAGCTTACTATTAGCAGTTATTGCTCTTTAGCACCACTCAGGGGTCACTTGCAGGGTCTCGAGGGTAAACCTACGGAAGCGAGCAATATCAACCCCCAAAAACATGGTGCGTTGAATCGGCGCGCGGCAGAAAGGGGCCAGGAGACGAAGCGGGGAGGGGTGCTGCGTTGCGTAAATAAGCGACGTTACGTTGCGACAACGCATTGTTCTCTCCCACAGCGCGCGCGACCTAATAGCGCCCTATGTGAGTTCCATCCCCACTTGGGCGCCTTCAGACCCAGTTTTAGTTTATTTTTAATGGGTTAAGAGCTTGCAGCGCGCCTATCATCCGGTAGCGCAGTCAATACCATCAGTGGCCAACTGCAGTGTATTTAAGAAAAAAAATTACACCGCATTCCTCGTGTAGCACTCGTTGTATTAAAATTATAGCATAGCGACGACTGACGCAACGTATCGGCAGCGCCCGTGTGGCATCGCTCTAAAGGATTGCGGTCAATTACAGAGACGTACAAAGGCATTTAATATTAAACAAAATATTAATTTTATTTTTATAACACCAAACAAGCCGTGCGCCTGATGGTAAGCTACACGCCGGTTCCTTACCAGTTGCAGTGCCAGTCAGAGTTTTAAATTGCAAAGATCTGAGCGGCATTACCACTGCATCCGTCACCCTGAGACATAAGTTGACAAGTCCCATGTGCCTGTAATTTCACCAGCTCCCTTATCTTTCAAAACCGGAACGCAGTAATGCTGACATTACTGCTTGGCGGCAGGAGTAGGTAAGGTGGCAGTACTACCCTGGACGAACTCCTTCACAAGGAGCTCTACTGCTACAAAGTTACTAGTGAAACATTGTTTTTATACTGCACAGGAGGTTTTGATATTTAAATTTTAGAGCCTGCGATCTTCTATAGATTTTTAATTATTTTGACTTGAAAAAGGAGGAGGTTCTCAATTTGACTGTGTTTTTTGTGTGTAAGTTACGCGATTTGAGAACCGATTTCGACGATTCTTTTTTTGTTGGAAAGAAGGTAGCTCAATTTATTCTGGCGGTATTTGTGTACAGATTTCGATGATTCTTTTTTTGTTGGAAAGAGGGTAGCTCAATTTACTCCGGCGGCATTTGAGAACCGATTTCGATGATTCTTTTTTGTTGGAAAGAGGGTAGCTCAATTTGCCCCGGCGGCATTTGTAAACCGATTTCGATTATTCTTCTTTTGTTGGGAAGAGCGTAGCCCAATTTACTCCGACGGTATTTGTGAACCAATTTCGATGATTCTTTTTTTGTTGTAAAGAGGGTAACTCAGTATTATTGTTAATTATACAGGTTTATTCGTATTTTACAAATAATACAGGATTTAAATGACGTCTCCCGAGTATTCGAAAGAGCATTCAGCTTTCTCAGGTCCCAGGATAAGCCACAGGGCTTATCTTATAGCGACAGCGCTCTCTCGTTAGGTCCCCGTTATCTTTTCCATCGTTCAATTGCAGTTTTTCTTCTCACTCCTACAATGTTTATGCGGTCAGACTATGGAACGCACTTCCCATTTCTGTTCATGATAGTAAATCATTAGCAATTTTCAAAATGAGAGTTGATGTGCACAAGTTATCGATTGTTCCATCCATTTCGTAGGAATTATAGTACGAAATAGGTATTTATTTATTATAGTTTTTAATAATTTTATGTTTTTGATATTGTTTTTTTTTGTCACATAATTTTTGTTTTGTCGAGCACGTAACCCCGTTATTGTAATTATTGTCTCCTGTATTTAGGTCAGCAGGAAGAAATTTCTGTTATAAATAAGCAGGACCTTTTGTTTGTGATTTCCTTGTTACTAACACTTTTTACATTTACTTGTTACAATAAATATTAAAATATAATTAAAAAATGACGTTAAAATATATGCGAACATTGTTACTTTGTAATTAATGTTTCTAAGTGTCTTTGCTGGCGCAACACGTTGGACTATAAGCGCCCAGATATACGAGGCGGAAGTTTTCGCGCGGCCTTTTACTGGCGTATCTGAATTCTATTTACTTGGCAACAACGCGCGGGCCGCCGAGTAGACCAAATTCAAGCTAGACCAGCCCGCGTGCCCGGTACGCTCATTTAAGTTAAAACGTAAAGGCTATATGAATAGAGCGTATTTTGCCATGACAGACGCACGCGGTCGCTGCGCGGCGGCAACGCGGACTCCGCTCGGCGACCGCGCGGGGTGAGCGCTATGAAATTCGTGTCGTATAAATGCGCTCTAAGAGTAATCTGAAATTTGTAAGCTAAGAGTCCGTTGGTTCGTTCCGTGGCTTAGTTGGTATAGCGTCTGGCACGGTATGCAAGAAGACGTCGGTTCGAATCCGACCGGATCAAAGGAATTTTTCTGAGTGTTTTTTCTGAGTGTTCGACCTTTGTATTAATAATTATAACAAACTAGTGGAGTAATTTCACAAAAAATAATTGAATATCAATTCAATAAAAATTTAATTTGTAAGCTATATTCCTCTTTTTAAATGTGCAAGCCTCAGCTGCGTCACAAACCTGCAACCGTGCATATAAAAACTTACCCTTGAATACTTTCTTCGCATACGTTGCACAAATAGCCTTCGTGGAAAGGATCACATCGAGTTGCTAAAACAAAAAAAAAAATCATGGTTATTGTATTAATTGAAGAATACGATGCTTATGTATTTCTACTTTTCTAATTAAAATTAAGTCACAGGACGAACAAGTCGTGCGCCTGATGGTAAGGTACACGCCAGTCCATAACAGTTGCAGTGCCACTCAGCTCTTTAAATCGCAAAGACCTGAGACGCAGTGCCACCGCACCCGTCACCCAGAGACATAACTTGACAAGTCCCATGTCCCTGTAATTTCACCAGCTTCCGTACCCTTCGAAATCGGAATGCAGTAATGCTCGCACTACTGCTGGCGGCAGAAATAGTTAAAGTGGCAGTACTTCCCTGGATGAACTCTTTCCGAAGGAGCTCTATTACTACAAAATTGTGTTATATGTAATAAAAATAAAAATGGAGACCTTTATTGGTCCCGAACCCTTTAACGGGATAGCCTGGCCAAGCTCACTCTGCTGAACGAGAACAATGTCTACTGAGAAGTGTAACTACAGAGCAAGGGTATTGAGCATTCAAAACCCTGATAGCTGCCTACAGTACCAAACACCGTAGAGAAGCTCTGTCAGTGGACAGGAATGGCATCGTAATGCTGACTAGAGTCTTAACAGGGCATTGTGGCTTAAACAAGCAGATATCAAGTATTGGGCAAAGAGAAAATGGAGTGCAGATTCCGCCACGAGGCGGATGAAACTCCTGTGCAACTCCTCGCCTAGTACAGCCCCCTGATGGGCGTACCAAGTTCCATAATTATTGATTTAATGGACAATTCACGCTTGGCCAAAAATTGACTATGACAAAATAGTAGTATTTCAACATTTCAAGTAGCAGTAGAGTTCCATGCGAGAAAATTATTTCTATTCGTTCAGGGAAGTACTGCCACCATACCTATTTCTGCCGTCAAGCTGTAATGTGACCATTATTTACTGCGTTCCGGCTTGGAACATTTGTACGGTTAACGGTTTGGTACGCTGGTGAAATTACAGGCATATGGGACTCGTCAATTTATGACTCAGGGTGACGGGCGCAGTGGCAATGCGTCTCAGGTCTTTGCGATTTAAAGAGCTGAGTGGCACTGCAACTGTTATGGACTGGCGTGTAGCTTATCATCAGGCGCACGACTTGTTCGTCCCGTCACTTGATATTATAAAAAAAGAGCCATGAAAGTCCTTCACTAATGCAGTTGGCCTTGGCTCCGAACTCTAATTAGTGGTGATTACAATAGATCAGTTAACGGTCGCAGTGATGAGGACACGTTTGAACGTCCACCAGCAACGGTCGATTTGGGGGTTAATGTTGCTCGCTTCTGTAAGTTTACCCTCGAGACCCTACAAGTGACCCCTGAGTGGTGCTAAAGAGCAACAACTACTGGTGGTAGGCTTCGGCCGTGGCTAGTCACCACCCTCCCGACGCAGTCGAGTGGGGACGCCAAATGGTTTTCACCGCGTTCCAACTCGTGTTCGGGAGTTGCCATTAAGAGGTCGGATCTGAACAGCTGCATTGTGTCTGACGACGAGCTGTAGCTGCTTGTACTGCCACACTGAGCACTTGGTTCTGGAGACTAGCGGGATTCGAAGCACGGTGCACTGCTGGCCGTAGGAAGTTGGGGGCCCCAACTAGCGGGAAAAATCCCGGAATGCTTCACTTTGCCGGTTGGAGACTGGAGGGGAGGACCAGGTGGCCATCTCCGGGGGAGTTCGGGAGTCTCCGCGGTCTGTAAGCCGATTGTATCCTCGTGTGGCAGTGCGAGCTTTGCTGCTTGGTTGAACACGACGCAGTGCCTCGTTCGACTGCCTTCCTCTTGCCTATTCACTTCCCTAAAAAACCTAATTACTAAAACCGAAACGGTAACAAGTTCACATAGCGGTTGCACGTCCTCACATTAAAAGTGCACCTCACTAACATCCGAGGTCTGCACTCCAATCTCGATTCGGTCCACCATAATCTTGAAACCGATAAACCACAGCTGCTGTTGCTCACCGAGACGCAGATTAGACGTCCGACTGACACGGCGTATTTCAGCTACCCTGGGTATACTCTGGAGCACAGCATTACCTCGTGGTGGAGTCTGTGTGTAACTTCGTGATGACATGTTTCCACCGAGTTTTTCTGTTTTGTGGCTACTGGTGGACACAAGAGTTACACAAATAGTGGACTGCTGTGACTACCGATCGCACAGATCAGGATACGACCAAGCTGTTCCAATATCTGAGTGAGACGTCTGATGAGATTCCGCATAGGTATCCAGCGGCGCAAGTCATTCTGGGGGACTTTAATGCACACCATCAAGAATGGTTGTTCTCATATTCGATGACCATGCTGGGAGAGACGCGTAAACATGCGTAATGCTAAGCCTATCCAAGCTTGCCATTGGCGCCACTAAGATCCCAGATGTTGAATCTCATACGGCTAATTGCTTGGACCTTCTGCTAACAACTGATCCGGACCGATACTCTGTGGTTGTGGATCCACTGGGTACTTCCGACTAAGTCTACCGATAGTCTACTGAAAACTGTATCCGCATACTCCCCACCCGATCAGGGCCTTGGTGGTATGAGAAGGGTGTGGCGATACAGGTTAGTTGATTGGGATGAAATGCGCCATTTCTTTGCGTCATATCATTGGCAGGTTTATTTCAGGAGACTCGTCGAGCTTTGCTGATGTAGTATTACATACCATACTCCGATGTACCCAATGGAACTCAATCCCGTCTATGGTTCAACGCTCACTGCAGTCTTCCTGAAGCACAAAAGCAGTCCGCGTACCAAGCATGGGCAGATGCTCGAATGCGCAAAGCTACGAGTACTCGGAATCTGAAGAAAGCTTTTAATATAGCCGCCAAGAAGTGCAAAAGCGTGTTACGTAGGGCCAAGTTTGACCATGTGCACCGCATAGGGGCCAAGCTTGCTTCTTATCCAGCGGGTAGCAAATCCTTTTAGTCCCTGGCCAAAGTGGTCCAAAGTAACTTTTGTCGCACATCTTTGCCACCTCTGCTGAGGCCGGATGGCACGCTGGCCCATACTGCAGAAGAGAAGGCGAACCTCTTTGCAGAGGGTTCGCGTCTTTATGCCGCAGGGAACCTACCACCTATCTTACCTCAGTATGGCTGCATTATGGCGTCAGTTCGCTCTTAGCGATATGCTCCACATTTCTATGGCGAACGGCTATGGAGTGGAATTCCCTGTCTGCAGACTTGTTCCCCGAATGTTATAACTAGGACCTTCTCGAGGCGAGAGGAATATACGCATTATTTAGGTGTGCATGCTCCATCGTCGACCTCCTCGTCACTTTTCAACAGGTAAGATGGAGGACAAATGCGCACTTACATTTGTTTAAAAAAAATCATAACAAATAAATCACCACAAAATAAACCTGAAGTCAGTTTAGGCATATAACCTCTGTATACCTTTCTCCTCCTTCTCAGCAACACGGTTACTGTTAAGGTCCATACTTTCATCATCGTACATCATGTCATTATCATGTTCTACATCCATAATAGTAATTTCGATATTATCATTGCTTGGTATTACTTCGTAATTATTATTTACAATTGGTATAGTTTCCAAAGTGATCTCATGGTTGCGGTTTGCTTCACTGACCGCTACTGTTTCCTCTTCCTCTTCTCTTTCTGAAAATAACAATATGTTTAACAGGCTGTCCAACAACAACAATCTATTTAAATGGTTCGCGGCTGCGAGGAGCACGACGGAGCGGTATGGTCCGCTTCCTGGTGCTGGATGGATTCTGATGCGCAAAGATGATCTCGGATCCCTCCCACTATAGCACCCTGGGGTTTTAGCCGGTAGAAGTCCGGCCTAGTATAGTATAACCTCTCCGCTGCCCTTGGGCACAAACTTTTCTCTAAATAATAATTATCAAATAAGGAAGTTTTGGAAAGGGTTGGGGAGGAGAGGAGTCTTTTGAATGAAATAGAGAGGGGAAGGGGGAAAATGTTTGGATATTTGTTGCGTAATGACCAATTTGTGAGAATGATAATTGAGGGGAGGATGGCAGGGAAGATAAAGAGAGGAAGACCAAGAATGGCGTATAATGAACAAATAAAAAAGATCAAAGTGAACAGCTATAGAGAGTTCAAAGAACTGGGTATGACCCGAGAGGAGTGGAGGAGGCTACACCGACAAGAGTCTGGCTCTTAAATAAGATGATGATGTGTTATGTAAGATAGTCGACTACATTCAAGAGGATAACAGCTTAAATTAAAATTGGCATCTTTCGATTGTACATTATTAATACCATACACAATATATTCAACCTACTACTAAATGCTAGTTTTTCAATAAAGATATATAATATTGTTAAAATGAGTAGGTAGGTACCTACGTACCTTCCAGGGCTAAGCCGACTAGTGGTGGACTTTCAGATGTAGAAGTATGTTGCAAATTTAAAGTTGGTACAGCCATATTGCACAGTCTATTCCTAGGATAGAAGAAGTTGGGTGTAAAATGCCGCCGACAAATTTTTCTGTTTTTGAAAATGTACTCATCAGTCTTTCCTTTAAAATCAGCACCAGACTTAATAATCCAGAAGCTAAACCTAGCAGGTTCTTTTACAGGGTTTGGAAATTGTTGCAATGGAGTGCCTAAAAATTAAAATAACATCTTAATGTGATATGATGTTTATTGAACATCAAAATGTTTTACTACTATGATATCGCACTGTTAATACAATAGTGTATTAACTCAAAAAGTGTATTTTCTCAGACTCTACGAAAAAATAAATACTCACTACCCGTGAAAGATCTGTGTAAATTTATGTATAGGTTATTTCCTACTTGCCAAATATAGGTACATATTTAAAAATAGAAGAGAAAAAATTGTTTCATGTTTTTGAATATAAGATATAAGAAATAGTCCTTATTTTGGCCAGAACCAGCTCACTTAAAGCGTGTCTAATTTTGAGTTAAGTAGATATACATATATTAGTTGTTTTTTACAATATTATAACGACGGTTTTATTGACGTGTAGAGAATTAAATTTTACGTTCGACAATGGTATAATCTTGAATTTCACATATTTCGAGTTATAACACTATAGTAATAGTAGTGCCATATTATATTTTACGAAGTTTACTCGACTAGTTTGTTACGATTGTGGATTGAAAAGTTCCCGGTCTCATTGTATTTTTTTTATACTACCCTCATTTTTCTTATATTCACAATGCAAAATTTTATTGGTGTAGTAATTGTGGTTTTCAAATTAGAGCGAGTTTACAGAGACCAAGTGCAGCGATTTAAAAAAATACGAGAAAATTGACGTGCTGTCGTCAAACAAGTTTGTGTAAAAGGAGATTAACACCGAAAGAGGTCTACAGTGATATGGAAACAACATTAGGGGAGACTGCTCTATCGTACACGACTATAAAAAAATGAGTTGCAATTCTGCAATTTGAATTCTCAAATGTGGACAAAAAAACATCGAAGAAGACCCTAGGTTTAGCCGGCCCACGGCGTCTACGACTGAGGTAAACATCGGAAAAGTGTGAGATCTCATTATGGAAGTCCGGAGATGGGCATCTCGTATGAGCGGACATAAAATATAATTGCCAACGAACTTGGATTTTACAAGGTTTCTGCTAGGCGACTCCTCCGGTTCAGTGGGTCAAAAGCGGCTCACAATTTCTCACGATTGTTTGGTGAGGCAACAGGCAACATTTTTTGAACAAATTTGTGACAATGCATGAAACTTGGGTACACCACTATACACCAGAGCCCAAACAACCGTTGCATTGAAACGAAAACGAAAGTAGTTTAGTCAACTGGCAAGGTGAAAACACCAGTTTTTTGTTTTTTGTGTTGTGATGGCACCTTCTGAAAAGCGAAATCAATAACTCTGTATATTATTGAACGGTTTCGCGTTGTTTACGTGTATAAATTAAAGAGAATCGTTCAGAATTACTCAGGACAAGTGTTGTTTCATCAGGATAATGCTCACAGTCACACTTCTGTCGAATCCATGATCAACATTTCTTATTGTGGGTTCGATTACTGCCCCACCCGGCTTATTTTCTTGATTTAGCACCTCTGGCTTTTCATGTTCTGAAACCTAAAAAATAACCACACTAGCCGGAAATTTTTATCGAATGAGGATGACGAAGCGTCATTCACTGGGTATTTTTAAGACCTTGAAGAATATATTTTTTTAACTGATTTCAAAGCTTTGGAAAGCATGTGAAGAAATGCATAGAGCTAGTCGAAAAATAAAAATATTTTTGTAAGTATTTAACTTTGTTTTCTTGGTTAGACTGCAAACTTTTCAATTCACCCTTGTATAATTATTAACACAAAGATTGAGCCCTAAGAGAAATTCCTTCGATCCAGCTGGATTCATACCAACATCTTCAGTATGTCAGGCTATCTGACATTGAGATTTTAGTAGCAGTATAGCGCTTTGTGATAGAGTTTGTCCAGGGTAGTACTGTCACCTTGCCTATTTCTGTCGCCAAGCAGTAATGTCAGCATTACTGTGTACCAGTTTTGAAGGGTAAGGGTGTTGATGAAATTACAGGCACATGGGACTTGTCAACTTAGATCTCGGTGACGGGCGCAGTGGCAGTGGCCATAAGATTTTTGCGATTTAAAGCTTTGAGAGGCACTGTAACTATTATGGACAGGCATCAAGCTTACCATCAGGACTTCTTCATCCCGTCATTTGATGTTATAAAAAAAATCTTTCTCAGGGTCGTATTCCAGGACTCTACTCAATTGTAATCTCTCTCTCTCTGTAAATTTCTGTAAATCTCTACTCAATCAAGGACTTGAGTATGATTTAAAGCACTAGAAATCGTACTCAAGTCCTTGCCATTAGGGTCGTATTTCCAGTGCTTAAAATCATACTCAAGTCCTGACTTGAGCATAGAGTAGAGTTCTGGAATACGACCCTTAGTGTTCAATTTTTGTATTAATATATCTTAATGCTATAATAATAAAATTTTTTAAACATTTAAATTTAGTTTTTATAACATTAAAAACTAGGATACTTGGGATCTATTGTCAATTTTACAATAAAAAAGTGTCAGACAACCACACAAACGACCTGGGGGTCCTCTCTCGTTCTACATCCGACATCAACCAAATTAAAAAACAATATCAAGTATGACATTTCATTCACATCACACATCTTTTCATTTGGTCGAGTATTATTTATTTGAAAGTAAATGTTTCGGACGGATATTGGAAAAAGAATGGGAGTTACCTATACTATGACTACCAGAGCAGGATTCAATCTGGGGCACTCTAATTGCAACACTAATGTGGATATAACAGACGATTCAATAAAACAGAATTACGATACAGATAAATGTCAATTGCATTTTTGATGGCAGTTTGAAGTTCTAGTGTTTCTCACTCGTTATTTATTTTCGAAACTTATAATGTCATGTGACTCCAGAGATATTTATTTATGTTTATATATGGGATTTTTTTGCTGATCTAAGAGGTTAGACTTTAGGAACAGTTTAGTACATATAACTCATTTTCTGATAATTTTGTGGATTGGATCCTTTTTGCTTAACTACGTCCAAATATAATTGTGTAACATATTAACTTTATTTTTGGTTAACACAGGGAGTTTATAAAAACTTGACGGGCTTATTTTGGATACCAAAATGAATAAAAAATTCCATATTTAAAAAGGGCGCTCTAAAACTTCTTTATTTTGGAATACAGAAAATGTTTCCAGAGTCTTGGTATTGGTATTATAGACACACTATGAACTTGTGGAAAAAAAACAATAAGGTCTTTTGTTATTGTTATGTTCTATGCAAGTCCCAAGTTAAAAGCTGTTTATATAAACGCTTTTCACGCTTTTTAACTCCGTTGTCGTCAAAGCGGTGCTACTGCCGCGATACTATCGGTTTATACTGTTAGGAAACAATACATAACATAGTAAATTACCATCTCCATATCGTGTTGAGCAACCAGGAACGCAGCAACTATTGACAGACATTTTGATTCGACGTTTTGTCATGATATATAAGAAAATGAGTGGCACAGATTTCACCTCTTAATCGCCAAACTAATCCTATCTTAGTTCCAACCACCGCACAGCGAGTCCTATGTCAATAATATTCAGTTTACAAAAAGTCGGAATTTTTTACAGTTTCACAAACATAATATCTCTTTTTCTAACGAAAAGCCGACGCTCAACGCCTCAGGTCGCTGGCGAAGTTAGAAAACATTTTGTTTCACTATAGTTCATAACCCAATTGGACAATGAATATTAGAAATCACAAAAAAACGGAGAAAAGTTGAAATAGGTAAAAGAATTATTTGAAATTCTGCATTCTGCCCAGTGAAGTCGCAAACTTACTAGGGATGCTAATGCATTGTCCATAAAGTATAATCCTCTTGTCTATGGTACGGCCCACAGTGTAATTGTGTGATAAAATAAAATGTTTGTGTACGGTTGTAAACAGTTGTTGTTTTAGTTTTGAATATAGTATTATTTTCATAAAATTAAAAATATACTGTAAAAATATTAGTTTAACAAAGAAAATTAGAGTGAGAGCTTTATTTTGGTATTGGTGCAAAGGACTAGTTTCCGCAACTCGACGTCGAGGCGTCTATTTTGCGTGTGGTGAGTGCAGGGTCCTACTCGTGCCACCCAAGCTCATCCAGGAATCTCAGCAGCCTCTTTAGTTTTCTGAAGACTTCGGGGAGCGACCTCGGCACTCCAAGGTACTTTGCCCTGTAGTTGGCCACACCGGAGCACTTTAATAGGATGTGCGCGGCCGTTTCCTCCCCCTCCATGCACGCTCTGCATAGAGGGCTGTCCGTGATACCTAAATTGAAAAGGTGTTTATTGTATGGATCATGACCCGTTAGAGCGGCAGATAGAGTGCGCAGCTCTTGTCTTTCAAGATTGATTAATTTACGAGATAGACTGGCGTTGAGCGTTGGGAGTACTTCCCTAGCCTGTCTACAAACAGTAAGGGTTGTCCATATGTTATTATGATTTTGTACCTTTGAGTATACCTAGTTGTTCTTGACCATTGGTAGGGGAGGCACACTATAGGTTCCGGCCCTACAGCATCCGTCTCCGACCCTTTTCTAACTAGTTCGTCTGCTGCGTCGTTGCCACGTGAGCCGCTGTGTCTTTTAATCCACTGTAGAGTTACGTGGTTGTGTGTACATACCTCCACGAGTGCTTGATGGCATTCATATATAAGCCCTGCGTTAATGTCATAGTTGCTTAGCGCTTGAAGTATTGACATGCTGTCGGAGAGTATTCGAATGGAGTGATTCTTTACTCTTCTCGCTATTATTGCTTCTGCTGCCAACTTGATACCCATACATTCAGCCTTGAATACTGTGTTGTGGTCACCAAGCGGTGTTGATATCCTGATATTGAGGTCTTCTGAGAATACCCCAGTACCTGTTCCTAAGTTTGTTTTTGATCCGTCAGTGAATACGCGGACCTCTCTGAGGTTTAGTCCTTCGTTGGGATCTTCAAACAATTGTATCCTGTATTTTTTGTCAAAAATGTATTGTTTTGGGATCCTATCCACAGTCACCTCCAGTAGCGGTTCCTCTTTGACTATCTTGTAGAGGA